GCGTTCGCAGTTTTAATGGGCGTTAAAAATACGTAAGCGCACGCCTGCCGTTTGCTTTGACTTCATACATATCCACAGAATGGTGTCCGCGAGTATAGTGGCGAACATTGGGCGGAGTAAGTATAAAAACGGGTACATTTCCAAACGTACCCACAAAAAAAAAAAAAAAAAAAAAAAAGAAACAACCGCGGGTTCTTTGAACAAGTTCGATAAAAATGGTCCCTCACACGCCCGATACGGTACGATGGGCCCTCCGGTTCGCACTGCGCATAAGGGAGTCTTCCGTGGCAGCGCATGCGCAGTTCGTACCGGAGGGTCTATCGCACCGTATGGGATGTGCAAATATGGTTCCCTAAAACTCTTTATTGCTAGTACATCATACAAAAGATTTCTTATGTATGATGTCCCTGTCACAGTGGTCATACAAACACTATCTGCAAACAAGTTTGAAGCATCCATACTATGTATGAGACAAACATACGATTCCATGTTTGAATCCGCCGATTATTTCAATATCACGTCTGCAGCGAACATCGTGTATTTTGTACACGTTCACGAGCAGTGTGACTTGGGCACTAAGGAGCTACAGCTCCTTAGAGCCCAAGTACTTGGTCACTGTCAGTTTACGCCGATCTCACAATTAGCGCTTGCCATGGCCAATTGAGCACTCTGCAAAATGCATCGTTTCACGGGCATTTGTTCGAAGAAAACTCTGTTTTACAAATCCTTGCTGTGCTCGCGCTAGCCGCCAAAGTGGTGACCTAGCATTGACTGATCAACGATTCTGACGTATTACATCATACTGGAGCCTGAATGATCCGTTTTACACCTCCAGTACAAGCCCCAGCCGTACGGCCTTCGGTTACGCCATCAAGGACGAATGGGGTAACGGTCAGCACCGCCACGAGGTCGGCGACGAGTACAACACCAAGCGGGGCTCGTACGGCTTCACGGACGCCAACGGCATCTACCGGCGCGTCGACTATATCGCCGACGGGCTCGGCTTTAGGGCCGTCATCAAGACCAACGAGCCGGGGACCACGTCGCACGAGGCGGCGCACGCGCGGTACCACTCACACGCCGTGCAGCACGTGCCTGTCGAGGTGCCCCTGTACGTAGACGCCGCGCAACACCTGATCGCTGCAGCTCATGGTCACCATCATCAACATCCCTTTGGGCACGGACACTACGGCTATCACTGATGGACTTGAGTGAGAGTCTTCCCTGGGACTGTGGTGAATTGGAACGCGTCTCCAACTGGTGCGCTTACTGCATCCTCAAAAGTGGTCTTTCGATTTCCACCCGATGACGTCATAGACGTGTCATTCTCGATTTCCGCCTGATGACGTCACAGAAGTGTCATACTCTTGCCTTTCGTGATCCTGGCGGAGGCACAGCGCGAAGGTGGATGTGGCGCACGGCTGGTCTGCTGTAGGTCACTCTGCAGTCAGGATGTTTCACTCAAGCATCAGCAGAAAGGAGTTGAGACGCTGCGACGACAGCGACCCTCCAGTCCGCTCGCCTGTCTTGCCAGTGTTTCTACAATTAACCGCCAGGATCGTGACTTTCAACAGCATGACACGCCGGCTCTTGTGATGTAGTTTGTTACAGCTTCAGCTTCATTATCAGTGCATGGGCGAAATAGGAAGTAAAACACGCCATTCTAAGACGCGTTCCATGTACCTTACTGGAACTGTCGACGAACGCTGAAGGTGCGGAAGGTGTGAACTTAATGTTATGCCCTTGTAAGCAGTGCGGTAAAGTCAATGGACCAATTGCAGTACACGTAGCGCCTTTTATGGACGCCGGAAGCTACGAGGAGCGCAAGTTCGTCTGCTTCTTGCAGACAATAAGAGAACGCCGAACTCTTAATGGCTGATTGAAAAAAAAAAAAAATATGATTGGGTAGACGTTAGGACATCTAGCATTGAGGTCTATCCACTATCATTTCAATCTAAACTAATCAGAGGTCGGCGTCGTTTTTGCGTTTCCTCAACTCCTGCGCAAGTAGCAGACGACTTGCTCTCCGAAATGTACCACGTTGGCAAGCAACTGCGTGCGGCCTTCTGGGATTTTTGGAAATGGTCTCTTGACGTGTTGTTTGTGCAACGTGACGTAAGTCTGGTTTAAGATCCGGTACTTCGATTGGTTTTCTGGAGCGCCGGTGTAAGGAAACGTATCCCAAGGAGGACTATAGACTCGTACTACATCAACCTCTATTCTACAGACATGGCCTTATCAATCAATGATCGGTACTGCACCATGACGGCTGAATGGTTGGTCCCATGCGCATCTACCGTTGAAATCTCAGCTTATTGGTCGACCGAGTATTAATGCCAAGGTACACATAGAACAATTACCTCGCGCTTTCTCTTTCCAGAAGAAGCGATGAGCAAATCATTACGTTAAAGCCCCGAAGCAGCTCGACAAGTGAAGTGGTCTAGTTAAATTACCGTCCAAAATTACACCGGCACGAGGAGGCTCGACATGACGTCCCAGATTTCAGCGATCCAATGAATATAGCATTACTGAACCCAAAATTTACCTGGATCATAAGAGGTTTCATCTAAAGATCAGTGACGGGGATTCCACATGCTACGCGGTAGAGCATCAATGCAGGGCGGCTTTAGAACGAGGACTTCGGTGCCTTTTATGTTTGAACTGGTTTTCTAGATCAATGGTGAGCGTGAAATAGATCCAGGCGCAGCCAGCGTGGATGAACTTGACTGAACTTAAGTGAGACTGGCTTCAAACGTTTTATTATTGGTCATCGATCACAACGCCCTTTCTGGATATAGGTCGACCATACTGTGGGACGGCCCACACGCCAAATGTTTGACCAAGCACGTGTAAAGTCAATCATTGAGATCTATGGTGCTCACACTTTAACATTCCTAAAACGTACAGAGAATGAACGTCCAACCGGTTTAGATTTACATCGTGGAAATCTCTGCCAGGTTTAAACATATCCTTGACTTTTGTCGTTCGCTGGCCCTTTTCGTAGATGATTATGACTTGCTGTCCGCGAGTTCTGAATGTTATCAGGATATCAGTATCGTATTAACACGTAAAAAATCTCTACCTACACTCAAGATTATATTAAAGATAAAAAAGACACTGAAATTTTCGACACCTTAACTTTATACTTCCCAATTAGAATGAGACCTGACCACTGTATCTGAAGTATAGAAAATTTTGGGATGTATTTTAGATCCTACACACACATTTTACGAGGAAACTGTAAATTTCTGTTAATTTTCTAATATTTTGCTTTTCTGTGACGACATTCTATTCTTACGAGTATTTCACTCTGTCTTCATTAAAAAAGTGGCATATCGTTGCGTAAAGCTCGACATATTTCCGGCGTGCCATCTTATGCATCACATCTTTGTTTGTTATTCGTCCTTTCTACATAAATAAAAAAAAAAAAAAAAAAAAACCTGTGTGTTTTTTTATTTGTAACACTGGAACATTCGGAACAGTCTTTATTTGAAAAAAAGTTACGTGTATAATGCTCTTGATCTTCGTTACAGCAGCATGAACCATAATGTACGCATGATTAATTACAAGTCAATATGATCAGTCAAAAAAATTAACTGAAAACTTCAGCCTTAGGACATTCCTTTCCCCTGTTGTTCTTTCGTAAAGCAGTAAATGTTTAGTGCTGATCAAAGCTCGAAAGTCGAGAACTTCTGAAGCTCTTCACTCCAGCTAAAAAATAACATCTTCCGGGTTATGCCGGTCTTATTCTTGGATGAATCTGTCGGTGAATTTAGAAACATTTAGACTGCAGACGTTACTCACAAGGGAAAGAAAACAGGGGGGGGGGGGGGGGGGGGGTTGGTTTATGGCGTCAGAAGCTTAACCACCCCCAGCGTACTGAGAAGCGACGGCGTCGCCGACGCCTGCCAGCTTAATTAAATCTCCCGCGTCGACTCGAGCTACTTCGTCTGGACGAGCGTAACACAGAGGGAGCCACAATCCTCTGTCTCGACAGATCTGTGTGCCAGTTCAGCTGCTATTGTGGTGGCGTTGTTGCTGGGCGCCTTCTGATCACCGTGCTTCTGATTTAGGCTTTGTGTAGGGTTGTCAAGGTGAGGGGGCAGGGGGAGTTACAAATTTCTGGGAGGAGTTTAGGGACTTGTGCTCGTGTACTTTGTGTAGGAAATTTTGGGAGTTGTAGGACTCAACCTGTGGGTTTATTGGGTGTTGCGGGTATAGGTATGACTATGAACATGGTGCGATGATTTCCCATGCTAGCCGGTTATTTTAGAGGTGTATTTAATGCACGAATAGGAAAATACCAGATCGCCTGGTAGTCTCCTAGTGGAGGGAAGGCTTCATTCCAACAGGAACGGGAATGACGGGACAAAAGGGTAGGGAAGAAAAAGGATTTATGAGAATGATCAAGTTTCGATGTCTCCAGTTAACTCCTACATGGTACCAGCTACTAAACACGGCCTACGGGAGCGCTTTTTCTGAGAAAACTCAAGACTTGGGAGAATTGTGAATGCCGGCCGTACTTTGATCGGAGCCTAGAGCAGGAAGTCAGATAGCTTACTACTGTGACCATCCCAAGTACCGTGAGGAAAGGAGACGCACCGGATTTTTTAGAGTGCCCATGTTTAATCAACTTCTCTAATCCACACTTTAAGGTTTACCTGTGCGTTGCAGAAAAAGTATGAAAGCGAGATCTTAAAAAAACAAACAGAACTGACGGGATCATTTTGGAGCAACGGTAAACCTTCAGCAGGTTTACCGTCTGCCAACAATGAGCACTGAAGCAGCTTTGTTTCCATTGAACGATCAACGGTTCAGGTGCTTTTCTCTTCTCTGCTTCGTTTTCTTTGATTGGTCTACATATGCGTATAAAATTCCGTGGCTACAAAGATACAACTGGCCCGAGCCCCACCTGTAAAGATTTGATAGCGGATGAATAAATCATGCTGAATATGAGGAATAGAGAAAGGGATATACAAAAACGACAAGCAACAACTTCTAAATCGCAAAGAACATTTATTAACCCGAAGTTTGTATATATAGGGTAGGGAAAGAGAACAGGGGAGGAGGGGGCTCTTGCATGATCCTTGCATAAATAATGCAAGGATCATCACAAAAGCAAGGCGAAACGCATCCAATGACTTTCATGCAATTGTGCTCAACTTAAACGTCGCTGGAGGGTTTACTACGACTGGCGAGTCAGATGCTGTCGGCGTCGTGATCGAGGCCGTCCTGTAATAAAAACCAGTGAATATGTATCACACATAGGTAGGTGACCAATAACAAAGCATTTTTAACGGTTGTCGGCGGCGGAAAATACTTATAAGCTGTTTACCAGATTCCTTGGTAGTGTTTTCTAAGTTTTTTTTTTTTTTCAATAAAAAAAAAAAAAAAAACTTGGGCTTTTTTTTTTGCGGCTCCTGGAGAGTTTAAGCACGCATTTTGATATAGGAAAGAAAATCCAGGAATAACAAGGTACAAATTCCGTTTGTACCCAAAATTGAGACCAGCACTGGGATTCTTGAGTTCGCTGCCAACTTCAGACTGACAACCCCAGAGCAGATTGTAATTTGACGTCTTAATTTCGTAGTAAATGGCGATTACTTGCCTTCTATGCGCTGCGTAGAAGAGAGGGCGCTAAAGTTTGGCTAGTTAAATGGTCGCAAATGTAGTTAATTAAATAAACTTTGGAGAAGAGCAACGAAAACATCACAGTATCACTAATGCATGAATATGCAAGTTTAACTAGAAGTAGCTATTTTAGCAGTATTTTGACATACTGCCCTGTAAAACTAATCATTCGTTTTCTTTTTTCTTTTTTTTCTTTTTTTTTTACATAAGAAAAGGCATTCAGATGGAGGCCCTAAGAATTTGTGAAATGACGAAAATAAAAAATAAAAAAATAAAATAGCAACAAAAGCCACAACTATAGCTTTGAGTTAAAGTCTATAATGCAATGGTGATAGTGAGCGTGACATGAGCCCTTGGAACGGCAAGCACAGGGGCAGCCTTAGGTCTTCGAATAGTAATTTTTTTTTTCTTTCTTTTTTCAGCAACGCAATTCGGTAAGCTGCCTTCGCATATCACTGTTGCTCTATAGGTGCTTTGCAGGAATGTAGGCACAAGGAAACTTTTATGAAGGGTAGGGTCATATATTTGTGATATTTTCTATACCCCGCTGCTGGGAAAGCCGGTCAAGGCCGCGCGTTTGAATGGTGCAACTTTGGCAAGCGTCGTGCAACCGCTGTGACGTTCTATCCATTTGCTGCTCCGTTTTTTTTTTTTTTTAACGGTACAGGAAAAACAGGCCTATCTAACTTAGATTGCGTTTTTATGTAGAAGCAGAATTCGGATGCATGAAATTCGTCTGTCTTTTTTTAATTCCTCAAGCCCGTAGGTCGATCAGATTCAAGAGCCAAGAATTGGTGGTCGTTGTCTTTAGTTCTATATCAGTACTGTGGGTGTATAATCTTTGCAGTGCGAACACCCGGTCCTAGCCATATACGCTGCGAAAAACACCGAACAAACGTGTTAATAGGGAGTTTTCGTATATCGTTTCCGCTGTCCCGCAACGGCTCTCCGCAACCAGCTACGCAAGCCGGAACTCTACAGTCAAGGCCATCGGCGCGCCGGCGCAGTAGCGACTGCTTCGTAGCGGAGGGCTTAGCGGAGGGGGAAACGCGGTCTACGAAAACTCCCTAATACTTTTGACCGTCGTAGTCTAAATGATCGGGCGCTATTCTAACTTGCAAGGCGTTCCAGCTTCACGAGCGTTTGTAAAGCCCTGACGTATTTAAAGAAAACAAAACGCTGTGGCTAGCGTTACGTCCGGAAGGAGCACTGAAACGCCATATACCTAACCCTCCCCCCCCCCCCCCCCCCGCCCTCCTCTGCCTCCCCCGTGAACCTAGGAAAGGCGGAGATTTGGACGTAACTTGGGTTACGTCGGACGTAACGCTAGACACTTCGAAAACCCAAAAAGCCATATTGTTTATAACCCTTGGCGCAGTCTGATTACAGCGTGAAGAATTTGGTACGCAAGAAGTGGGGCCCACACAGTGGACAACGAGGTGCGTATCAAACAACGTTACAATTAAGGTTTCATTATTTATATTCACCGACAGCTTTAAAAACGCAAGTCGTGGCAAGTACCAAGCATCTTATCATCGTTCGCAGACTACAGGACTCTGCCATTAACCGATAAGGGCGCATCGTGTCACCAAGTACGGAGCAGGAACATCACAAGCCACGCCCCTGCATTTATTTAGCTCTCAATGGTCTTCTTTTTTTTTTTTTTTCCGTGCTCCTACCCGCGGTGCCCAGGGAGGCGGCCTTCCGGGAATGCGGGGCAGAAGCAGATGCCCTGGTGTAAGGCAAAGTTTTCTCCGTCTTCGATAGTCTGCGGTAGGGGCTGCCTCACGGAGTCCGGCAGCAAGAACACACACACCGCCGCCACGAACGACAGAGGCCCGATCACGAGGACCGGAAGAAACTTGTCGTATTCCACCTGTTACGAAAAGGGGGACAGAGGAGGTCTCTTCCTTGGCATCGTCATTATACCATAGCCAAATAAAAATCAGAAACGAGCAAGGAGAAGAAAACAAAAAACTGCCACATAATCATGCGTTGCGATGCCGATCACATGTGCTCTTGAAGATATGAGAGACATACTTTTTTATCTATAGAGGGATTGACGGCGAGCTGGTCTAATAGTGGATGCGTTTGCATATGGAGGAAGGGACACCATGTGGAAACAGTTGTGCTGTAATGATTTACATGGACTCGTAATCTGGTTATTCGTGCACTACATAAAACGAGTTATTTCATCTGAGTATAATTGACTAGAACAAGGCGCTATCGTTGTTTCATCGCCATTGTTTATCATCATTTATTATCTTCGAGGACCCGCAATGAGCATTACACAAGGGAGTGGGTAAGCATATAAATATAAAAAAATTAACGGAAGAATAACGCGACACTACAGCTCTGTAATCTAATTTGAGGGGTTAGAGGGGAAAAGGGCAGTAGCTGCTGGAAATATATTAGCGTTACTTATAGAAACCGTCTGGCAGGCAGTGTATTCCCGTCTTTTACTGCCAGTGGTAATGTAGACATTTGATAAAACACTGCGGACGAAGAAATTCCCCGTAATTTAAAAAGAAGACGGGAGAAAATACGCTGAGGAGGTGATAGAGTAGATTCTCTGAGATGGCTGTTGCGATAAAAGATTCAACGAAGAAGAGAAAGCCGGGATACACGGCGGCGGAGAGAAAATGTGTTTAAGTTTGCTGACTGGCGTAATTATAAGCAACATCAACACAAAACGAGTGACAAAAAAATTCTACATCTACCACCAGATAAGGGCACCAACGGTAACTGGATCTATATTGCCTGAAAGCCTTTTCATCGCGTTAGAGCAAAAATTGATTCAGGAAGAAACTGAACAAAAGGCGTCTAGGCGTTTCTTGGGGGTGCAAGACTTCACCGCGCAAGAACCAGTTATGTGGATTATTAGATGTTCACATCAGCGTCAATATAAATTTATGTGTTCAAGAAGGCAAGCGACATCGCCGATTAATGGCGCATATATGCCAGCGTCGCCAAGAAAGCGACTGCCGACAGGGACGAGACGCAAGTGCCGGACGCTGTCGTATGAAGGCTTAGCCTGGCGGTTCTGGAAAGTTGGCGCCGTGAGTGAGAATGGAGGGCTGTCTCCGTTATTCATCACAGAAATAGAAGGGCTACCTACTCCCGCACGAGCAGCAAAGGCCGAGTCCCACTAAAGCGACAAAAAGAAACAACCAACACCAACAAGCTTGTTTGTGGCTTCAGTGGGACTCGGGCATTGTAAATAATCCTAAAAATCGAGTGGCCCATGGTTTTTTTGTTGGGAATATAGGGGGTATTTACTGGATGCCACATTTGAGGGCGATGTTGAGAGCGCATGCTCAGAACGAGCTTACATTAGTAGGCTACTAAGACCGGCAATCTTGATGGTGCGGAATGCACGTCGCAAAAGAACTGTGGAAGCTCGTCATCAGCACGCGCTCAGCGGTCGCGCACACAGCTATGGCCGCCAGTGAATACTCCCTATTCGCGACTCCAGCAAAGCGAACAGAACTTAGCGGGAAAACACTGAACTGGCCGGAACGGGTCCCTTCGCGATTTCTGCTCGTCTCTTCTGGCTTCCGTGTTTACATGTTGTCGGTGGTTTGCGCGATAGTACAGTTCTACCGGTGACTGTGTCGTAACCGTAGTAACGCCTTGTGACCCAGGTTGCTCTGCACGCGACCTACGTAACCGCGTGAGCCAGACATTCTTCTTTCTCAACGTTCATCAGCACCGTGGAAGGACATTGGGCAGTCCTTTCCTCGTTTCCTCGAAGAAAGTCAAGCCTCTGGAAGTTCGCTTAGGTACCCCAACACATCGCCGCAGGTTCGAAACGTGGAAGATAAAACACGGGGTAACCAATTTTGAGCCCAATGCTTACTTGCTGGTGCCCCAGCGTTGTGCGTTGAGCTGGCACAAGGCACGGCCCGACCTGGATCCGACCGCCATATTTGCCCGATAGTGGCGCCCCCTATAGGTCGCTGGAGTCGGGAATATCGGTTCCCAAAATTTGTTTGATCATCTCTAGCAGCCCACGAAACCGCGGCATCCTTTAGTTGCTGGAGTGGAAACCGACAGAAGAGTTAACAAGCAAGAAAATACATGTTAAGCAAATACATGTCATTGCGGTAAAGAAGAATATAAAATCTACTAGGATCGGGAACTTCTATCGTTACTGACAACTTAAGAAACGTGCGTCGGGGCCAGTTTTGAGCATCTCGTTATCGTTCTGCAGCTAATGAGTTTGCGGCATTGGCCGATAACGACGTCGAAGAACGAATCACAGAAGCTTTTGTGTAACAAACCACGCCCTATGTTTTTGGTGTTGTCCGCGACCACAGGATGGCTCACCAGGGATGCCACGTGAGTGCCGGCCAAAGCGCCCAGATCGCATACGAGGGACAGGATCAGCACGACTCTTCCCCTGATCACAGTAGGGAAGATCTCGGATGCGAGCTGGTAAGTGATGTTCACACCTCCGGCGAACGACATGGAACACAGGGCAGACATGACCATAATGCCCCATAGCGAACCTAGGGGAAAATAAATACAAAGAAACCCGAATTGTTTTATGTATTACACTTTAGTTAGCATTGCAATGTTCTATACACTCCGATGCTCCACACTTCACGGGAGTTCCAAAAGAACCACCCGTAAGCCTTCAAGTTGCAGCCAGAGTTTCGACTAGAGCTTTGCGACACTTGGGCTACCAGTTTCAGGATTCCAGGAAGCATATGTTTTCTTCTTTAAAGCTTCAATGACCTCCGTGGAAATTTGTTTGAATTCCAGGAGAGTATAGAGCGCAAGGATATTCTACATTCCTGTCGTGCCGCACAAAATGCGGATTAGAAAGTTGGAAGCCGAAATACATCTATGGTTTCATTAGGTACTTTGATATTATTAGTCAGTGGACGCTCAGAATCTCGCCTTTAAAGTTAGGTTGCCCATACCCTTTAAATGCCATTTTGAACGGTTTATTTAGTTACAAAAAAAAAATATGCTGTTTTTGATAAAGTGAGAAAGGGCAGATAATGTTCATGAAGCGACCCAAATTCTTTGCGACAACAGTTAAAATCTGGATATCTCTTAGGTGGTGCAAAGTCCTTTATTTACAGTTTTGTTTCGTCGCCGATTAAATTCAGTGCGGTACGGTGTTCTACGATACGTCGAGCTTGTTGCGTCAGTTCTTTCCAGCACCAAGAGAATAAAATGCCCGCAAAAGCATAAAAAAGAAATGCCGAAGTCGCAGCTGTTGTTGCGCTGATTCTCGACGAAGTCTGTTAGCATTTAGACAGGGGTTTCGACCCAGCGAAGGATGGGAATTCCAACCTCGCAAAGAGTGGCTCTTCGAAGCTCTCCGAAGACAATAGTTTATGACCGCATACTGTTGTTATCTTTGAAGAGCTTCGAAAGAGCCAATCTTTCCTCCCGCGTGTCGGTGGTTTCGTGCAAACGGCGTCTTTGCTGTGCCCCGGTTTCACGTTGTCGCGTACGTTGTGAATACCGGGGTAGCCAAACCAAGTGCCTACGTCCCGGCGCCATCGTAAGAGGAAGACGCGTCAACAGCGACGCGCCATTGGAAGCGTTCGAGAGGACACTTTTCCTCTCACGTAAGAAGGAAAGTGGACGCAACGAGCCGACGAACGCAGCCGAAGAGCACGGCGGGAACTGCGCCGCGACCTCACGAAAACAGTCCAGTCCAAGCCACGACCGTCCAAACCAAAGATGGCTGCAAGCACCGGGGCAATAAATTCTAACACATTGAAAATGGAGTTTTCGTAGACCGTCTTTCCCCTTTACTCTCTCTCTCTCTGCAATGAAGATGCTGTGCTGCGCATGCGCGCCGCTAGCGTTGTCTGCAGGGTTCGAGACCTCGTAGCGGATTGTGATCACCACCATCTAGAAACTATACGGCCTGCGCGCTTCGTTTTATGACGTCAGTATACGTCACAGCACCTAGGCCACGGTGGGAAGCGCAGTAGTGCGCTAAAGTTACCATGCATTCGTGCAACTGGCACAAAGCTGGGGTGAGAAAACGCGGATGATGAGAGACGAAAAAATCGCACCGGTAGCCATGCTCCTGCTGCACGAGCGGTAACTTTAGCGCTGCACCGTGCTTCCCACGTGCTCCGGGTCTTTTTAATATCGACTGATTTAGTGGTTTCTGATGACGCAAAGCCAATTTTGAATTATAACCATATGTTTCTTTTCCATAATAAAACTTTAATTAACACAATTTAATTCATTGGACAACATATCGTTACGATAAGTCCCATATACTATGTCCCCCTTGCCGTATAGCTCATCTGCACAAATCGAATTAGTGGTGAGTAAAACGGTGCCTACACATAGCAATCTAAACTTTTCGTCAAAGGTGTATTTCACAGGTGGGTTTTATTTTGTAACATTACAAAAACGTAGCTCCTTTGCTGTAAAAAAACAAAAAAAAAAAAAAAAAAAAAAACAGGGCCAGAAACTTGCCGGGTTAAAGGTGGACGACGACGCAGACGACCGAGTCGAGTGGCGGAATGCTACCTCCTTTTTCCGGCTTGATTAAAAAAAAAAATATATCGAGACTGCCCTCCATTAAAATGAACATAACCCTTTTGAAACCTACCTTTGGTTTAGAAAATAATTGAGGACAATGATAGCAAAACTTGAAGTAACAAAAATAAAAGTAAACGCGGCTACGTAACGACGATGCTCTTGCTGCCGACGGATGTCGTCTGCATGTCGTCTGCTTTCTTTCGCTGGCCGTCCACACTTTCCGACGCCAGAGCCGTTTATACTGAGAGAGTTTGGCCTTCTTAAGGAGATTATGACAGTCTGACAACCACAGCAGCGTAGTCTGACAACCGGGGGATGACTACTTCCGTCCGCCATATTGTGGCTCTGACTCATAGGAACTCTACGCGATTTTTCAGGAATGAACAAGACAAAGAGGTAACGCCATATTGTGTTATCACGAAATCCGCTTGTTCTAGCGGCCAACAAGCTCCGCCCATCGGCCAAACTCTCTCAGTATAAACGGCTCTGTCCGACGCTGCTCCCAAACGCCATCTATCAATAGGTGCGCCAAACGCGCCCCACCACTCGACTCGGTCGTTTGCGTCGCCTTCCGCCGTTGACCATGGCAAGTTTTTTGGCCCTATATATACTTTTTACAGAAAGAGAGCTACGCCTCGTAATTTTACAAGGAAGAACCCACCTGCGAAATACATCTATAACGAAGAGTTTAAAGAGCTACGTGCAAGCGCCGATTTTTACGTCCATTTTAGATCCAAAGTGTTTTAAAACATTTTGTCGGTTTTAGCACGCGAGATACCTGCTCAGGCTATTGTGCCCTGTGCTCACTTTGTCTAAAAAATTAAGAAAAAAAAAAAAAAAACGATTATGGCGCTAGTCTTACTTTTATTTCTTGTTCCTAGTAGAGTTAAGAAGCAACGTATTTTAAGGTATTAGTTTTTTTAATGTAACGATTTCTACTTGTTGTCTTCTACGTTAAACAATTTTTGTTAAAATTTAATCGATACAATTTATATATCGCACAAATGTGCATGCCCTGGATATCCGATCACCAGTGGGCATCTGCAGACAGCACTGACAATCATTTGACAACACTTCTAGGGGCGCTTCATCGTCAAGAAAACCCGTTACTTGTTTCAAATAGAATATTTGTTATTGAAGACTTCGGTTTCGTAAAGGTCAACCAAACATTCGCGACGAGGATGTTCTCAGGAATATTGGTCACGATTGCTTTCACTCATTGTTCTTCAACCACAGAGCTGCGGAGTTTCCCTTCGGACTCATAAATGTAGAAACTGCAATTTTATTATCTAGACCTTATTACCCCGCGATTACCTGGGTAGGCAATCGCGGGGCACTTAATGTATCGTCAGGCGGAAGTCACGGGACTACAAATGAGGACGCGTTATGCACGTTAGTCTGGGGAGCGTGGGGGGATGGTGAAAAACGATCTACGAAACCTCCCCGGTGTAGTGAAGACATGAACAAAGTTTTGGAAACCTGAGTCTCATGAAGTATACTTCTGGAACAAGCAAAAAAAAAGTTCGTTTTCGGGTATGGAAGTTGTGTGGCTGCTTACCCGTGCGGAGAAGTCCCATGGCGAGAGCAACCACGGCTCCCATGAGCAAGAAGAGCGAGTTTGGCCACCGACGTCCGAAGGCGTCCAAGGCCGCGATGCAGATGAGATTTACGGGGAACTCAAAGGCAAGGGCCAGCGAGTACGAAGCGTAGATGTCCTCGTTAAGTCTGCCCAGCTCCAGCGCATTGGCGTTGTAACAGAGGCAGATGATGAACCTGGTCGGATAGAAACATCATTCGTGTAGAAGTGAGTACCGCTGCTTGCAGACGGAAAAAGTCTATTACCGATTGGGGTCTTCTTTGCGTTAAGACGGCGTACTATGATATTGTCCATTGTTATGCTCAATGTCAGCTCAGGAAAAGCACGATGTTATCAGCTTTACGCTTATTGGTTCGGGATTCGTACTTCGGCGTTCGTAATGGATAAATTCTGCGATCTTAATGGTCAATCCTATTGACCGCGCCCTGTGTGTTCTTAAATAATCCGTGAATGTAGAGTTTGAGTCGGCGTCGCCTTCAGGCACAAACGTAAGTGCGTGGAGTTTTACTGTCTCTGTACTCCAGGTCACAGGTTAGGGGCACCGTTATAAAAGCCTTATATTCAAAAACGTCGCTTTAGTTACGCGCTTTCGTAGAACTGTTATTAAATGTCGGCGAGTAGGGCTTTGGCGTCTAAGTCCTCATTTGCGCGGCCAACGAGTTGTTATTTAAAAAAAAAAATATTAAATAAAACGTGTCCTGAAAAAAAAAAAAGCTTTTAGGCTCATGGACGGCGTAAAAGGAGCTACACATTCGTTAGAAAGTAACAAAAGCTTTAAAGTCATCTGAATGAAATGTTAGAAATAAATTTCCGGAAATGCGCAATAAAAATAGGACACTTAGCGGAGGTGCATGAAGGCGAGTGGCATAATCTAGTTATTCGGACAGCCATTGTCGATTTCAAATTTCTAAAAAAATTGCATCAAGATCTTATATATGGCAACAAGCATAAATTTGTCTTTGTTGCATTTTCTGGCACTATTGACTTTGGCGGACTCTTATTTCCCATGTTCCGCAATTCGTAAACACACGCAAAAAAAGAAAAAAAAAAGAACGTGATTTGTGTATCTTTTTAAAATGCCCACTGAACACGGAGCTAAAACCAAACAAAGCACTTACATGCCAACGTATATGAGGAGCGTTCTTCTTCGAATGCGAGGAGATTTCAAGACGGCTAAGCTACTTTCCAAAAACGACGGGACGGCCTTGTCTGATGATGATTGTAAGTTGACGTCACTGAGAGGGAACTGCGATTGAGTAAAACGTTCATGAGCTCACATGCATGTAAAGTAAGAACGTATAAATTGTGCAGTCATTAAAAATTAAACCTGCGTAAGCTTCATATAATTTATTGCCGCTCGAAAATAAGTACTTAAACAGGTTGCAAACGTTCAGTTTTATAACAAGACGTTTGACTCTAACAGCTTAGATTACATTTGCATTTCGTTTTAAGCTACTGAAAAACGCTTTTGAGCACGGTGGAAGAATAGAAAGGTGTCTGAACGGCGCCGGCCCGAGCAAGTGTGCCGAAGGTTCGCTCGTATTTCTGACAAATGCCGTGAGATGGCGCAGCATGGAAGGGGCCGATGAGAGCCAATTGAGGAGTCGTCCTTGTTCGCACACATTTGCAAAGCCGCGCTTCGTGGAACCGCTCCTGCACGAAGGCCTCAAACAGACAGTGCTCCAGCCGGGAGATGCCTGAACCACAAGCAGACTTTTGCCGTTCTGGCTGGTCTTGTTCAGACATCGCTCTCTTCTTTCACTCTGCTTTTTGGGCGCAGTGAAAGCGGACGCCGTCATTTATATATATTGACGCTAACTAGGCTGTTCAAGATTAAGATTAAAAAACGAGCGTGTTGGTAAATACTTAAACACCGGAAAGAATAAACACAAATTCGGGACGCAAACAGACGATACAGCTCTTTCATTTTATAACTCTCAACGACATTTATTTCGTCTCCGTTCAAACGACGGCCATCGCTGGGGAGGGAGCAGAGAAGGAAAAAGGGGGGGGGGGGGGGGGGGTGGAAACGAAGGAGGGGAAAAAACGGGTTATTCGCGGCCTTCCCTCAAGGCCTCCGGTCCCCTCCGCCCAGTTCGGGACGGAGGAATTTTATCTCCCTGTCGGAAAGGGCCAGAGAGGCCGAGGCGACGTTAGTTACCGAGCTCTTGATGGCGTACGATTCGGCGACTTCCCTGCCAAATCTCTGCCGGTGTGCTTCCAATACGCGCGTACCTTCGTATCGGGCGAACAACCCTCGCACGTCATACGGTGTACAACTATTGGGTGCATGGAGTTGTCGGGGGGTTCGCTCACCTCCCGCGAGTGTTCCCTCACGCGGTCATTTAGGCACCTCCCGGTCTGCCCTATATACTCCCCGCCACACGAAAAAGGGATGGCATAAACCACCTCCTTCCTGCACTTAACAAACTGCTGTCCGTGCTTCTTGTTGCACTGGGTCGTGGAGGGCGGGGTATTCACCATTCTGCACATTTGTTGAAGTTTTTGCCTGCAGCTAAACACTACCCCTACCTCGAAGCGAGAGGCGAGTTCCTTGAGGCGATGTGCGGTGTTGTGCGAGTAGGGGATAACTGCAAAACGTTTTTTGCGAGGAACAGGAGCGGCTGGCGGTGCCCGGGAGGCGGGGATCAGCGTCTTTAGAATATTTGCCACTAAGTCTTCAGGGTACCCTGCCCTCTTTAGCCTCTCTGTCTGTAGAAGCACGCCGTGCGCGGAGAGATGGGGGCACGACCTGGTTCCAGAGGATTTTAGGAGCGATTTTACGAGGCCCCGTTTAACTGCTTTGGAGTGGGCACTCGTGAAGGGCAGTACCGGCTTTCGTGTGCGCTGTCTAAACTCCCAGCATATCCCATCAGAGCGCATCTTCAGGTTCAGGTCCAAGTATTGAAGACCGTCTTCAGACGGGTCCTCTCTCTTAAAGGAGAGTCCGGTGGGGCTCGGAGCGAAGGCCTCAATGACAGACTCGGGAGAGGTCTGCTTCGGATACACGATCAGATAATCATCTACATACCGGAACACCCGGCTCTCCGGCGAGGTCTCCTCTATTCCGCTTCTAATATCCCGGTCCACATACATCAGGAAAATCTCGCTCAGCACAGGGGCCAGACAGGAGCCTATGCAAACGCCTGTCCTCTGGGTGTCAACGCTTCCCTCGTACCCCACCAGTGTCGAGCGAAGGTACAACTCAAGGAGAGTAATGAAACCGCTAACAGGTATTCCCGATGAATTCTGAAATTTGCAGGCTCCATGTTCGTGAATGGCGTTGTTCACGGACTCGAATAGAAACTTGTTGTCTGGACTGTAGAACATGTCGTCTATGTCCAAAGAAAACATTGCTCGTGGTGTGGGAGAGTCATGCAGGGTCTCAAGTTGGGCTATCAACTCAGTGGAGTTACTAACACGGAAAGGCTGGGAGAGTGTCATGGACGACAAGTTTCCGAGGAGGAAAGTGGCCAAGTTCTTCTGCCAGCATCCGTTTTCGGAAATAATGCTGCGAAGCGGGACACCGGGTTTTTGTGTCTTGGCCGAGAAGAACGCAGTGAGATACTGTTTAGCTGGAGAGGCGATCGCGTTCCTCAGGGAGGGCAGGTTTAAACTCATGCAAAGATCTTTGGCTTCGGACCTGAGGGACCCCGAGGGTCTTCTTTTTAACTTTATAAAGTTCTTCCACAGGGCGGCTTCCACCTTCTCATCAAAACATCCCTCGTCCACGATGACGAACACTCCCGATTTGTCCGACTCCAGTAGTTTCAGCTTGGAGCTTCGGAGTTCCTCTACAGCCGCACGCACCAAAGACTTGCCTGGCGGAGGAGGTGGGTGGGCACACACGGCCCTAACTGCAGACCCAACGAAGTCCTGGCGGTCCTGTTCCGGGATGGAGGCGGCGACTTGGTAAACGGAGGCCAGCTGATCCACTCGTGATCCGGGCAGGTCAGGAGCAAACTTGGGTCCGTGCAAAAGGAGTCGCACGGTGTCCGGAGAAAGCTGCTTGTCTGAGAGGTTCACAGGAGGAACCAGCCTAACGGGTGAATTCCCCTGATGAAAGGAGCGGAGCTCAGCCAGGATCTTGATCCAAGCAGAGTCCAGGAGACGAACAGCGGACTGCTTGATGAACTGGTACGACGGGTGTGAGCCGTATCGCGGTCCGAAGAGCGCTGTCATGTGGCCGGGAAGGATCCTACTCATCAGCTGCAACTCCAGCGATATCTCCTTCCTCGAGATCTGCATAATCCTGTAGCTTGATGCCCAGTTGTCGGAGTGGAATCCCAGAAGCAAGTCGACCGATAGATGGGGCCTGCTCTTTCTCAAACACAGCCCAAGTGCTCGGAGACGTAAACACAGAAAGTTCATTTTGGAGATGAAACAGGCGGCTTGGAAGAATTTGTTAGGATCAAACACGGTTGGGCCGACGTTCGGACGAGGACAAGACATCTAGCTCACAAAACTTGATTAAGATTAAAAAACGAGCGTGTTGGTAAATACTTAAACACCGGAAAGAATAAACACAAATTCGGGACGCAAACAGACGATACAGCGCAGGAATCGGCCTGCTGTCAGGAATTAGCCATGCTGTCTAGAGTTGGTGACAGGTTAAGAAATCACTGACACATGACCCTCAAGAGGATTCACATTGCTTCACCTCCAATCGCTTTCAATTGCTATTCGTGATGATAACAAATCAAGAACGAAATTCTGTCAACATGGCAGTGTGCGTCCAGCAATTAGGCAGTCTGGGACGCCAACATTTTTGTAGCGTGTTTTCTACTTTTTACCCTAACCTTTACCTTTCTGGGTTCGCGTCACAAAGTCGTGACGGTCTCCACGTTTTTTCACAGGGGTTTTTAGCAACGACATAATATAATTCAGTGGTGGCATCATCATCGAAATGTTCAGTGCACGATGTAGCTTAAGCGGTAGCTGGAAGAGATGTAAGCAGGGTCTTCTTTGTTCTGCCTGTTTATTCTTTCTCCTTACCTTAATTTTGTTCGTCCAGTTTTATATTTCATCCAGCTATGTACTTACCTGAAGCTGCCTGGTGAGGTCTTCCTGAGAGACCGTGTGACCGTTGAAGCGAGCAATCTTTTCAAAGTGGACGAGTGCTTGGTCCTTGCGTCCCACAGACAAGAGCCAACTTGATGACTCCGGCACCCAACTGAGGAGGCAGGAGACCACGACATGTATGATCTGCTTAAACGGCTGTGGAACTGCCCCCTCCCCCCAAATTTACTTTTCTTCGTGTAACATTTTTAATACTTTATTAAATGGCAGAAAACACAGTCCGTTTGCACCTTCTGGCGCGACAGTAGACCCGTAGAAATTGTGTGCGTCTTTCAAAGGGGGCGTGGACATTTATACAATTAGTCTTTCGCCAATAATTAGGGGTGTGGTCGCATCTGGTTCGCAGAAAGTTCGAATCAAATTATGCCGCGTCATCTGAATCTATAAGAGTAAAAGGGCAACCTTTGTAGCCACCGAAAGCTCAATAAACGCAGGGCATGGTAAATATGGGCCCGCTTTTTGCCACGCGATTTGTTTTTCAGTGTTCTTATTGGATAAGGCTTCAATCTTATTAGCTGCGTAGCAATAATAAAGCTTTCAAGATGCGCCACGCTGTGCGCTTCTTGAGTTGTCATTGAACGTAAAATGCAATAATCTTGTGCTTTAGAACAAAAATACATGAAGAATCGGATGTTTACTGTCGCCCGACTTTCGGCGTGTCAGTTGTGTGCTATCAACTCGCGCAAAAAGCGGATGAATAAGCCACAAAAGCTCCGCCTTACCACATGACGACGACCATCAACGCGTCCACGGCGGTGTTGGTAAGCATGACTCCCCTCCAGCTTTGCAGTAGGTAGGCGTACCAGGGCAACGCAGAAGCCATCAGGGTCCAAGACAGGGCCCAGATGAAGGACACGAGCGTTCTCCTTTCGCAAACCGTGTACTCCATTACTGCGCAGTAGAATACGAGTTCGATCGCGCATTGTCAGCACCGCCTCGAATAATCAAAGCCTGCGAACATTGTCGTCTGCGCCCACGTGACAACACACTCGGATGATGGCGACCAGCAATTGGGCCAAGCCCGACGCTGATGGTCTTTCGACGCACTTACTGGACTCGAGGTCCAGCCCAACTCTGACGCAGCACTCGTGTTCAGTTTGTGCTCGCGCTATAGATATTAACGTAATGACGTGGAAATTATATAGGATATAGACCACGGTGGAAGAAGTGAAAGGTGTGTCCGAAAGGAGCCGCCTCGCCACGGAGCAAGTGTGTCCACGTTTCGTTCCCATTTCTGAAAAACGCCGTGAGATGACACAGCGTGACATGAGCTCAAGGAACCGTCCTTATTCGCTCACACGTTTCTAAGGCCGCGAAGCGCGAGACCGTGCCTGCTCGCCGAGCCCCAACCCGGCAGCGCCCCGCCGATTGGAGGCCCGAAGCCAGAGTGGAATTTCGACCCCCTTTCTGGAACTTGATTCGAAACCTCTCTTGTTCCACCGTGGCATGGGCGTTGAATATTCTAGGCGAAGTTAACTTGTAGAGACCCTCCGCGGCCGCTCCCTTGGGTCCCGTCTTCCCTGCTTCCCCCTCGCCTCCGCGACCGTTCTCCCAGGCCAACCTCCCGCGCTCTCCTGGATCCCCGGAGCCTTATCACCTGGTGTGTCACCCCCGTTCATGGATCGCGGGGGTGGCACGTGAACAGGTGAACTCCGGACTGATCAGCGGTGGACGGACGGCCGGACGGACGACAGCGACGGAGGACGGGGACTCTTCGACTTTGTGAGTCAGTAAACCGTTTTGACCGCGCACTGTGTTGGGTAACTTCTTGGGGAGCGAGCGAAGCACGACCCGATCGGGCGTCGATTAGGTGACGACCCACAAACGTTGCTCGGGAATGGTTGATGGGCCACCACGGAAGAAACCTGGCCAGTGATAAGGTTTTGTCCCATTAGCGTAACCCCCCATCGTCCCTGTGAAAAGCTTAATTTCAAGTGCAAAAGGAGCCCTGAGACGTGATTCGCTATCCTGTCTTTGAAGGTAACAGTGATTGTTTCACCGATGTGATTCTCGAGGTACTATAATTTGTCTCCCCTTATTGTCAGAGCACAGCCAAAGACTCAAAGACACAGAAACATGGACGCACGTGATTATGTACCCAATCCCAATCGTAATAACTCGATTCGATGCGCTACTATGAACCTGCGGCTATAGAAACACCGACAAACATGCTAAAAACTTGAGTTCGCCGCTCGTTCACTGCGCCTCATTGGGTTAGCTGATGATATCGCAAGCACATACTTGATTGACACCATTGGGCTCGTTAGACAATTCCAATAATTGCCTTCTGCGCACTGCCATTTTACTGCGATATTAATGCGCTAGCATTATTGAGCTACTCATCGCAGATTTCTGTCTATCTGGTATCTGGCCTCCTAATGCGCAGTAGGCATGAGCAGAAGACTCTTCCAGCTCACTGTGCTTACACCCCATGCGCCGCGCGTATGCGGAGCCTCCGGCAGTACGTACCCCTTCACATTCGAACCCTCTTCGAGGGACCTGACGACCTTGAAGTCGTCCTTGACGCCGTCCTCGACATTGTCCTAGAGGTCGTCTCAGACGTCGTCTCTTTCGACGTCCTCCTCGACGTCGTTCCTGAGGACGCGTCCTAGAGGTGGTCCTGAAATCGTCCTAAAAGTCGTTCTTGAGGTCGTCCTAGAGGTCGTCTTTGAGATTCCCCTCAAGGTCGTCCTGAAGGTTGTCTTTGACGTCGCCTGTGAGGTCTTCCTATTAGTCATCCTAGAGGTCGTCCTTGAGGTCGCCCTAGAAGTTGCCTTAGAGGTCGTTCTAGGTGTCGTCTGCGACGTCGTCCTCTTGGACGATGTCGAGGACGACGTCCTAGAGGACCACGTAAAAGACGAAATTGAGAACGACCCCAAGGACCAACCTCTAGGGCGATCTTAAGGACGACTCTAAATTTACCGGCGAGTTCCCCCGTTAAATTTAGCGGAAAAATTGACGTCGCGACCTATGCGCAAATGTAGTTTCCCCGTTTAATTTGGCTGTGTGCAACGATAAATGCTCTCGCATTCATACATAATCACCCGTGTGGTTTCTAAAAATTTGCCTCGAACATCAATTTGCTGCTCCGTAATTTTGTCCGTCCGGGACACCGGAGGTTTCGTCCGTCTAGTCCCCTGTGTTTAGTGGCAGTTAGTCGTGGTTCTCGCCTTTCTCTTCTTTTTGTCCACTGGGTTGTGGAGGTGTTCCGACCATACGCAGTAGCTCCTTTCAGCAGATTATCAGACGCTACGCATCCGTTCACAGCACGTGGTTCACAGCCCAGTGATTCGGCATTTTTCACCCGAGGGATAAGCGCTGCAAAGGTGCGCGGATGTATTGTTTCCCGGTTGTCTTCAAATAAAACCAACGACGATTGTGCACTTTTTAAAGACGTCGCTCACCGATGATGAACGCCGTGTCGGATACAGCCTCCGAACCCATGCCGGTGAAAAAACGTAGAGCTACGAAGCTCTGGAATCCAGTGAAGAAGACCCCCAAGACATTGCCGAGGGCACCGATCATCGTTAGCATCATGGATATCTTCTTTCTGCCGATTCTGCGAGGAGAAAGTCACGTGAATGTCACCACGAATTATAAGGTTGTTGAGTAAAGTTGAACTTAAGGCCTGTAATCACTAACAGCTTTAAAAAAAAATCAAGGCGCGGCGAGTTCCGCGCATCTTGTCATCTCTGAGCAACCAATCAGATTGTGGCATGAACCGAGAAAAGATTCGAAGAACCAATCACGAAGCAAGAAGAGAAAGGATGATAAGTCACATCCTGCGTTTCTTAGAGTCGCTATAGTCCCAGAGGTTACACGAAACAGGGTTTTTCTGATTCTGCATTGCTTCAAAACTTATGCAAGTGCCACTTGAAAATAAAAACGTTACGCGGAAATCGCGGCTGTCGCTACGCTGATTCTCGACGAAATGCGTTAGCATTTAGCGCAGGGGTCCCGACTCAGCGAAGGATGGGAATTCCAACCTGGCAACGTTCCGTATACTGAAGTCTTTGGAGAGCCAGTCCATCTGTTCTCCCGGGCGTCGGCGGTTTGGGATGCGGCCACGACAGCTTCCCACGACCGCCGCGTATCTTTCCTCCTGGGGGTCGGCGGTTTCGCGCAAACGTTGTCGTCGCTGCACCTCGGTTTGACCTTATCGCGTGCGCTGTGCCACCGTCACAGCCAATCCATCCCCTCGTGTCCCGCTCCCGCGGCGTGTAATTGGAAGCGTGCCAGAAGACTCTTTCTCTTTTGTAAGAGAGCCAGTGGAGGCAACGAGCGAACAAATGGCGCGAAAGAGCACAGCGAAACCGCTCCGCATCCTTACGAGCCCCGTACAGTCCAGTTCGAACCACGACCGTCAAAACAAAAGACGGCTGCATGCCCCAGGGCAATGAATGCCTAAAGCATCTAAATCTACAGAACATTCGCGCATCAATAATCTGTGGCGAAGCTGGTTTTGACGGGTTCAGCATTTGTATTTTTCGAGTGTGCTAGAGTCTTGTGTAGCGCTTCTGTGGTTTGTTCACAAAATCGTCTCACTTGTCAAGCAACAGAAATAACAAAAGAACGCTGCAGCGTTGGCCTCTGCGCAAAGATGGTCCTAGGCCTAAAATCGGTAATTATTAACAAACCTCTCCTCATGTCGTACTCGAAGCAAATGGATCACCGATACAATCTAAACAACCACTTATAGCATGTAAGCGTCAACTCCTCACACTTCGGCACGGTTTTAGGGGCGGTCAGTTAATTTAAGTGTGTAATCCTTTAAATTCCGGTGAAATATGACGTCCGGATACCGTAACGATTTCAAAAGTGAATTATCTGTGTGCTTTGACTAAAGAAAGTCATAAGTGTATCAAAACGTTTGACCCAGCGTCGCACGAACTAATCCCATTTATTTCATGATCAACTTGTAATACGAAAGAAAATGTTTTGCTCCGGTTAAAATAATGTTTTACTGAGAAACATACCACGATTTAATAAATGTCTACGCTTATATATGTAACTTCAGAGATTTCACAGGAACCCGCTCTAAGTACGTATTTGTTAATTTATTATTTAGCATAAGACATCGCGGGAGCTAGATATATCAAAATTTCTCTGTGGTTTATCTAAGTGTTTTCTTCGTAAGAGATCTAACTATTTATTAAAAACAAAGATAGATATTGTGTTTCCTCGATAAATGCGCCTGTTGTAATAAGTGTCGCAAAACGCATTAAAATAACAACATTACAACTACATTGGCTTTTTCTCCAGAGACGATATTTTGGAGTGCACTGTAGAGAATAGTCTTCATGGCACGTTCAGCTAAATAACGTTACCTCGTCACCTAATAGCAGGTTACATTTTTTTTCAGACACACCTTTGGAAAATGGAATTTCAAAGTCAAGACCTTATATTTGACAATTGCATCGAGGCTGTAATCTGGATAGCACAAGCTACCTGGTAATCCAATAATCCACTTGTTCATAACATTCTATTTCAAGAATTTCAACAATGCATGTTTAAGTAGATCTTCATCTAAAGTTCTATTTTTATTTTTATATTTCGCATACATTTTAAATGAAAGCAAGCTCGATCCTTAGATTTAACAGTGTTTGCATAATTTCCTAGAAAGCGTATATTGAAAAAAAATATGTAAAAAACCAGGAAAACAATAAAACAATAGCACGAAAAATGGTATATTGTTGGGACACAAATATTTGTTCAAGTAAAAAAAAAATGAGTACCTATCTGAAAAATATCCAGCGATAAGATTGCCTGTCATAGAACCAACCCAATAAGCTGTGTGAACGGCATACATCTTCCGGCTTTCACCGCAGACCCACTGGTTCTGCAAGAAATAACAGTAGGACAGCTGTAGCTTGACGCCATCACACAATCTGGAACGTATGAACGATATTTGCCGATTTCGTAAGCTGTATCTGAACGCAGTTCACGCAAGAAGTCAAGATGACACACAGAGTTGTAGGGGAAGAGTGATAATCACAGACACAAAGAAATTGACAAACAAGCAATCATTTGTAAGGACGTCGATATGAAGGTGAGAATGATAAGGAGTTACATAAAAATTCCAAGAGATGGCCAAAGGTGTAACATTCAAAATGATGCTGTCCTGTGAAATGTAGACGGCTTATCTGCTGATTCTTTGGGATTTCGAAAATAGCTTGTCAATACGTTACCATTGTTATGAATAACAAAATTTTAGACATTGTAACTCTGGAGCAAGGGGACAAGAGAGCTGTCAAAAATTGCAGTGAAGCTTCCGAGTTGGCCAAACCTACGTCCCAGTGAATTAATTGTTGTGATGTTCGGCAAGACACTGAAATTGTGTAACGAAAGAGACGTTTATAAACGTCTAGGTAAAGGAGTCGTTCATGGTTTCCCGGAATAAGGATTGTTACCCTATTAGAAAGCTTCTTAACACTTACATTTTTTTTTTGTGGCTTCTTTTTTGTTTCCTTTTGCTCTTCGAACTAGTGACCCCGGGTCGGTCAACGCAGAAGGGAGTAGGGGCAGGGTGGCATTCAAAGTAGTGTTTAATGTTTCCCTGTGTCCCTTCGACCGAGTGTCCTCACGTCGGTTGCGGGAGAGTGGGTGTAGTCGAAGTGCTCATCTTGTTCCTTTGTGATTTTTTTTTTTTGGTATTTAATTGCAATTTTATTTTGGGGTGGCAGAGACAAAAGGTGTTTTAAAACACCTGACCCTGGTCCCGTACTCCATACAAGTTTCGGAGCGGCGTAGCTCTTACAAAGAACACACAGTATGTATTCAAATGAAACGTAAAAACCAAACAAAAATAACGAGACAGGTGTACGTTTCTAACACAATGAAACAACTCAAAATTTCCACACAATATTGCCTACATGCTCGAAAATATAATCCGTTATTCTTTTTATAAATGCATCTGCAGATTTTGGTATTGTTGATATATCGGAACTTTGTGGATGCATGTTTAGAAGTCGTGTTAATTGCTGCTATGTTTGTCATAATTAGTACGTATTTGACCTCTATCATATTCCACACGTCTTAAGCTGTTGACGCCGTATTATTTTGAGAGAATTGAAGATTGCTTTTGCAAGGTTTAAAATTATTAACTGTTGGATAGTAAATCAATTATACTTCTTAAAATAAATGTATGTGGTGATCATTATAGCACAAACATGTAATGAACCGAACTGCGTTTTTTTAGTACTAAAAGTTATTCAAGTTTGCTTTTTGATATTGTTCCTCATACCAATAAACAGTAATGTAGATGAGAAAGCACAAGTGCACAGTATAGTTCGACTCTTAGGCCATGTTGGTGTTAAAAGTCTTAGTTTATGTAATATGCCGATTGATCGTAAGAGGGTTAAATTTAGTTTAGATACTTGAGTTGTCCAGTGCAAACTCTCGTGAAACCGTACACCCAAGAACTTCATGGATTTAACCTTCTCTAATTTGTTAGGATTAAATTTTATATCGATGTCATAATTAAGTGCCTTATTTTTTGCCTTGAAAATGATATATTTAGTTTTAGAAATATTTTATTCGAGCTGATTTGTCACTAGCCAGGTGTGTAGTGTGACCTCCAGGCAGCGTTGTTTCCTGATGGTTGTGGACCTATATAAGAATTTTTTTTTTAAACAAATCTTTCGTTGAGTTCGGAGCTTCTTTTCTGTCCGTCTCTTGTCTCCTTCTCAAGGGTTACCATGTCTATCCCGCTTTAACCTCGACAAAGTCTTGCGTTGCAAAAACATTAGTATTTAATCTTGGCACGTAATTTTGAGGAAAGCCCAGCGCTAAGTTTGGTCAGTATTTATTTATCAATTTGAGTTCGTTCCCTGGGGCTGTTTTTCATAGGCCGCACCGCTAAATTTGTTACACCTTTCCTAGACACCTGACTACCAAAATATTCTTGATGTGAGAGGCAAGAGCTTGAGATGGAACTGTCTAGGTGATCTGCATCGAACTAAAAACTTAATATATTTCTGGTCACGTACTTTGTGAAACACACACACACACACACAAACGGAAGGGCTGCAAGTCACACTCAAAGAAAAATGAATGAACTTGAGCAATTACTGAACTTTTTTTTTTTATTCACGTCACGGCTTAGAGATGTGAGAATATGCTTATGCATATGTTGCGTACCTCCATGGTAACCGTAGTCAGGAATTCCGTGTTGTCGTACCTCCATCCAGCTGGACAGGTCATAGCGTCGTCTCCTGACATTGTAGCGTTCATGTAACCACCGCCTTGCAAAGGAATCATCATCTGGCATTTTCCCCTGGGCAATGATGTCACGTCCACAATACTAGCATTGACGTCGTTTTGAAAACACCACTGACTTGGCGGAGTGACGTGCACGAGCAAGTTGCCCATGTAACAGAATACGGCGTGCCATGCGCTGATGACCAACAGGGCGTTTAGGATGGCCTTGTTGAACAAACCGTAGCCTCCGACGGACTTGAGGGCCTCTTCGAAATCCATGGTCGGATGCCTCTCCTGGAAAAGAAACGTAATGGGTCGTCAGTAAAAAGAACAAAAATATTATACAAGCATAATCATGCCGACAAAGGCCGTGGAGAACAAAATGTGCTGAGCGCAAACTACCACCTCGCAGAAGTTCATGTCACATGACTTGACGCCACATGGCGTGGTCACCTGACTTCATACTCCCCGCTAAATTTAGCGGGGCGATTAACGCCACGCGACGATAATTTCCCCGTAAATTAAGCTTGAAAATGGGCGCCACGTGAGAATATTTTCTCCGTAAATAAAGCAGGAAACTTGACGTGATGGTTTTCGTGACGGTTCTTGGTGACAGTTTTCTCGTGCATTCGGCTGGTAAAACACATTATTTATTAATTAAGACACAATAGTGCATAGCGAGACATCTGACACACTCAATGCAAGGTACGTCTTCTCTGCTTGTCTTATGTTCCGGGGGATTTAAGCCAGTGCATATAAAATATTGAAGATTGTAGGTTGCTTTGGCGTTCTGATATCTTTATCAGGAAAAGCTGTTTAAAGGTGATTGGAACGAGCCCAAAAGAGAGTCTTTGGTACATCCTGTCGTGGATGATAACGTGAGATGAAACAAACAAGCAATTAAACAAAAGTCTTCATATTTTGACAGTATCTACAACTTTTGGGAATAATATAAAAGATTAAAAAAAAGTGTTCACAAGTGTCTAATGACGTGAAACAGTAATTTAGACTCACAAAAACACATTTCCGCGACCTTTATTTCAAATCGCGCGACCGCAAGACGATTGTCACGGCTTCGACGTTGTAACTGTATCTTTTCTGTGCAATCCTTCAGCTCAAGCGCCGAAATACGATCACCACTGGGTTTTTGGCCTTGCAATGTGTTTGTCATCAAGATTTATATTAGGTTGAATAGAGTAAAAAAACCTTTCTCGCACTGAAATGAAACATTAACTAAATTTTGTGGGCCCAGTTTTTTCTTTACACTCTAGTCGCAACTGTACCGCCTCACACGAATGGCAGATAATTTCAGAAAACAATATTTGCTGCTGGAAACTGCGCTCCTCACACGGTCATTCAGGCAAACGACATGCGGGGTATGCCGTGGATGACTCCCTTACTGGTGTCTTCGGGTGCAGTTATGTAAGCCGCCGCCTCGTAGTCCTCTGTGCTCATCCGGATGTTGGTCATTTTGCTGTATTTGAGGGCGTTTTCCCTGTTGGGCGTGCTCATGGTGAGAATATTCTGACTGATGTTCACGCGCAGCGTATCGCTGGACGCTTCGTCGGAGCTGATCGCCGCTGCGCGCAGCAGGCCTTCATACGCGCGGCAACAGTCCGCAGCTGCAACGCGTCGAAGCCGCCACGCGGGCGAAGGATGACCTTGAGGTTCTCCGCCGGCAGCTGCGGTTGTCTCGGCGCTCCCGCCGGCCGGCGTAGGGGCGCTCCTTGGTTGTTGCTCCGTCGCAGCGATGGCTGCTCTCGTGGCTTTTCCGGAGGCGGCTGTCCTCGGGTTTTTTTTATCGTACGTAGTGAGCCATCTCGGCCCCTGCATGGTTTCTGACGAGATGTCTTCGGCCTCCACTTCGATCACTTCCATGCTTCGGGTTTGTCGGGGAGTGGGGGTTGCGTCCGTAGGGCACGTGTCACGAGGCACGTGGCTTGCGCAACGAGCACGTTCTCGGAGACGTTGCGCGTGGTCTCGGGGCTCGAGGTTTGGCGCTGCTGGGTAGGCTTATTCCGGCGGAGGTCGCTTTGTTCCTTTCGGGATGAGCGATTTCGTAAATATATACTCACGTACTTGCGGGTGGTCTCTCTCGACGCCGCTTCATGAATTGTGTCGACTGTTACGTGGAAATAAAATATTCGTTTGCTGGTGGTCCACCAGAAGGCGATGGGGGTGTGCGAACGGGTTTCCTGTGTTTCGAGACAGGGGGCTCGCTCCACTGATCTTGGAGGAGGCGAACGTCCCTTCTCGGGCCCCACGGAGGGCCTAGGGCCGATGAGGAGAGCGGGGAAGGAAGTGGGCCAACGCGTCACAGCTCGGAGCGTGAAGCGAAAGTTTGCGCTGGTAACATCCTGGGCTCGATCCCCACCGCCCCCGCCCGTTCCGATCTGGATGAGTTTCATGCCGGCATGCATTCGTGTAATCACTACAGCGTGATGCATGTTAAAAACCCCAGGTTAGCGGTTATGCTGCACTGGCCAATTTCTCATCCACAGCTAAGAAATCGATCACCCGTTGAGGCGTACCGAGATCAAGGCTGTATAAACATACAAAGCAAGAATTTTTTTTTTTTTTATGAGGAGAGCGATGGATTGAGAGCTCAACAGGGAACTCTGTGTGTTAGCCTTGCTGCCCGGCTACGAAAACTCTGGAGAGCCCTTGCTCCTCGGTTTTCAGCGGAGACGACCAGGTTGTGTTAGCCTTCGGGCGGGCCACGCGGTTTGTCGAGTTGCCGGGCCAGGACTGCGCCACCAGACTATAAAAAATGTAATTTAGTCATCTTGTGTCCTTTCCGCGATTACGCGAAGAAATAGTCGTGACAGTACGATGTAGATGACGTGGGGCTTCGAAGCGAAAATCCGCGGAAATTGCATGCTAAACAGGAGCCCATATAAATCACGTTCGATCCGGTGCAGCGTTGCCAGCCCCTCTTCTACCCTTCCAGAAGATTGCTTCTCAAGTTTTCCCTACCAGCTTCATCTATTTCCGTGCTTTGTTTGCAAATCGTACTTTGGTGCCTATACACGTCCAAGCTGTGCTCAAATACTGAAAACAAAACAAAAAAAACCTACGTGAGTGCAATAATGTCTTTGAACTTACCCAGTGCCCAAGACGATGACGGCTCCTCAAATAACCGAGGGAAGAGCTCGACCTCACCAATCCTCAGTGTATGACGTAAACTAAAACTAAAGAGCTGAAATACACATAGCTCGGTACATCAAGACAGCAACTGTATATCCGTGCCCAGAGTTTGAAGACAACGTTCCGTAGGTAGTGTGCATCCAGTAATAGCATGGCTTTGAAGTTGAGTTCTTGGTACCGCGTTGCCTTTCCCTTTTATATCTGCTAACAATGAAACGTACGAGTACCTCGTCGTTCGCCGCTCGTTTCATTCTGTTTTCTGATACATAGAGCGCTGCGCAGCAGCAGGAGGCTGGCCTGGCTGACGACTTCGGAGCGAGTCCTTTTCACTGACTACTGGATGATAGCCAATTACGAGACAAACCGGACGTGACGTATGCACGTCAACTTCCGGAAGAGAACGAACGGAACAGAAGTGGCAAGGTGTGAGGAAAGCGGCGGAGGAAAACAGGTGCCTATCATATGTTACGACAGGCAAGTGTGTATTTTTCTCGCTGGTACTTGCACATGCTAAGACAAACGAGTGAATAACACGAATTAATTTATCATCGGTCAAATCTTAGTTGCTTGGAATTTAAAGCACTGTTTAATCTATCATTTCCATCATTATTTCTGGGCCAGCTTACCCAATATATATTAATTTCTCGTTAATATGGGACCCGCTATGTAGACAAACTTTTCGGGAACGGACTGGGTAAATATATGCATTTAGTCTCGGCATTTTGGGCGACTGACACTATGAAAAATGTTTGGGAGGAACGGAGGTTTCCATAGTAACACTAACGAGACACGGCTCTTGTTGATAGTTGAAATAAGTGCGTTCACAGAGCTTAGAACTCACAGAGAAAAATAAAGAATTAGGATATACCAATAGCGCAATGGAAATATTGTACTGGACTGTCGAAAACTCCACGTGTTACCTTTTGTCCTTGAGCTTGACTAGGAGAAGCGTCGCGCGCGCTGTTGTAGAAAAACAAAGGTGGAAAGTTGGGCGAGTCGGTACGATAACGTAATGGAAAAGCAGCGCGAAAAGACGACGGTCAAATAACAAGAACTGGCAAGACGCAGCGCTCTGTAGGTACACTAACATAATAAAAAAAAGCAGGGCAAAAAAAAAGTGAACGGTACTTGTATATTTTACTTTGACCCAGGTTTAGATTACAGTGAAGATACGGACGCGAAGTCAAAGCCGTGGGATGTGTTGATCCATCGCACTTGGTCATTCACAGTAAACCGCTTGCGAAACCAGGAATAGCCAAGAGCTCAGGGTTTTATACCAGCACGTTTTGGAAACCAAAGCCTGCGGCGCGCTCCGTTTAATGATGTCGGCTACGTCACAGCACCTATACGGCATGCAAATTCGCCTGCTCCTTGCGCACCCCTTCCGTTTGTTTGCCCCTGAAATGCGCCGACATGCGTTTGTTTCCTGTGAACCTCGGCCAATGACGGGGTGAGCTTGGCTGTCTGGTCATCGCGTGTTTCCTACGCTTTCTCTACGTTGTCCTCTCATCGGCGTGCCCCACTTTGCGTGCCGACGCGTCAAAGACCCGTTTCAGAACGCTTGCTCGAAGTATACATGGTTCTCGGTTCCTTTCGGTCTCAGTCACGTGGCCTCCATATTTGGTACGCTGGACTTAGAAATAATAAGACATTTGAACCTGGAATTTGCGATAAAATATAAGTGAGGCATTTGTTACAATCACGCATCTTTCCTGAACACCTTCCAGCGGCGTGGAATGATCAAAACGTCTTTTTAAATGGAAACTTGAGCTGTTCTGTATTTAAGGAAAAACACCTAAAATCGTCTTCATTTGGCCTCCAAGATCACGAATATCGAGATTATCTTTTAATTTGGTGCACGGAGGCTGCAGAAATTAATCTTCAAAGTATCGCTGAAGCCCCTCCCTCCCAGAGTGTGGCGTCGAATTAGGGGTTTTCGGAATCTCCGCTCTGGCGCATGTTCAGCACCTGTCAAAGCTATGCACGCGCACTCTTCCTATTTGTGAAAAGGTAAAAAAAAGACGTCACGACTGTTGTCAGTGCGAGGGAATATACCTGGCAAGCTTGCAATTGCACGCCCTGCCCATACGAGCGGCACGCGCTTGGCGGCCCAAAGATCCTAGTATGACGTCACGACTGGTCGGAGGTTTATCGAGTTTCATTGCGTTTAGTCAGACCTTCCGGGGAAACAAACTTGATATTCAGATTCAAGGTATAAAAATACGTCAGAATTCACCTCCCTCTGGTTTTTTTCAAGAGAAGATTAAGCTTCCCTTTAACGCATACCAGAAGTGACGACATTCAAGATGGCTGCGCCCTTCCTCGCAAGTGGGTTTAATTATTCGTGTTCTGCACATGGGAAAGGAGGCGCGAAGGTGTGAGAAGGAACTGGTGATGATTCCGACTAAGATCCGCCCTCCCACATGTCGGGAGGGAGGCTGTGGGGTGCCGTGGGGTAAGCAAACATCGGCGTCTTAGTGGCGGCAGTGCCGTAGCGGCGACCGTGAGTCTTTTGTTTAATGTCGCCCTGTTAAAACTTGCCGAGTTCAAGAGATCGAGCAGCTGTGCTCCTTACGATTCCTCTGTCGTCATCTCTAGGCATTTCCAAGATTACAAGATAAAGACAAAGAAGAGCATCAAAAAGAAGGCGCTTGCGCAGCCTCGCGATTGAAACACTGGTTCCGCCGGTCGCTACCAGACCGCCGTCCGATTGTTTGTGCCGGTAGTTTCCTTTTATCTTGTGCTTCCTTTACAAACACAACTTCACGAACTGAAGTTTTCGAGCCCGAAGAGGGACCCAAGAAGCGAAGTTACCCTTCGGTGACTTTGCTTTTAGAGCGCGGCTCTTAGGCGCCCGTTCCCGGCTTTAGCGGCGTCGGCGTCGCCGTCGGCGTCGGCGTAACCGCGAGTAACCCTCGTAACCCTCGTGAGGGTTACGAGGGTTACGAGGGTTAGTCTCACGAGGGTTAACCTCACGAGGGTTACGAGGGTTATGAGAGTTAAACTCACGAGGGTTCTGAGAGTTACCCTCAGGAGGGTCACGAGAGTTACCCTCACGAGGGTTACGAGAGTTACCCTCACGAGGGTCACGAGGATTATGACAATTACCCTCATGAGGGTCACGAGAGTTACCCTCACGAGGGTCGCGAGAGTCGCCCTCACAAGGGGTACTAGGGTTACCCTCATGAGGGTCACGATGGTTACCCAGGTCACGTGACCCCCCGTTGACGTCATCGTCACTGATGACATCACCGGCATCCGTGTCGTCATCGTCATCATCACTGATGACATGATCAGTGACGTCACTGATGACCTCACCGGCATCCGCATCGTCATCGTCACTGATGACGTCATCAGTTACGTCACTGATGACGTCACCGGCATCCGCATCGTCATCATCACGGATTATGTCATCAGTGACGTCACTGATGACGTCACCGACATCCGCATCGTCATCGTCATCATCGCTGATGACGTCATCGGAGTCCGCATCGTCATCGTCACTGATGACGTCATCAGTGACGTCACTGATGACCTCACCGGCATCCGCATCGTCATCATCACTGATGACGTCATCAGTGACGTCACTGATGACGTCACCGGCATTCGCATCGTCATCGTCATCATCACGGATTACGTCATCAGTGACGTCACTGATGACGTCACCGGCATCCGCATCGTCATCGTCATCATCACGGATGACGTCATCAGTGACGTCACTGATGACATCATCGGCATCGTCACGTGACCCGCGCCCCCCAGGTCACTTCACCCCCCAGTACCCTTCCCTCCTCCTCCTCAAGAGCTGCGCTCTAATTCGGCGTTACAGGGAGTTGTAAACGGCTTTCACTTTTTTCATTGTGCTTATGTTACGATAAACGCGCATATAAAGGTTAGGCATCTCTTCATTACTAATGCATGGGTTTCCTTGGGGTTCAGGGTAATATTTGAAGTGAATGGCTAGGAATATCATTTTTTTTCGTCATTGAGAGTCGTAAATGTATTTGTAATCAAGGATTATCTCAGGGTGATGTGAAAGGGAAACTGAAGCAGAACTGTAATATACAAACCATTGAGTTGCGATTTTTTAAAAATATTTGGAAGGAAAGGGAGTTGGGCCTTTTGGATAAGTACAAGACAGATGACCAGTTTAGAAAGCTGTGCGGGATTTCGAATAGGCTGGCGTTCCTTCCACCACAACTTGTGCCCGAAAGACTAGCATTGCCCGAAGGACTAGTGAATTGGCGTCTCTCTCGCCAAGAGTAGCAACATATTCTACTCGAAACACGGAAATCTGGACGCTCCCTATTTGCAAAACTAACTACGGTGAAAAAATGTTAAAAAATGCACTTCCTGGACGGCTTATTTTTTTTTGTTACTCACAACGTTGATCTTCCCACAACATCTGTAAAAATTCTCCGAGCATTTCTTTCTTTTTCAAATGTGATTGCTTAGTTGTCATGTTTCATAACCTTAATTTTTGCTAAATTGAATAAGGCTGTGCTTGCATGTACTTTGTTTTTGTTTGCCTCTTATACAGTCGCACCTTTTTTTGTAATATTGTCCTGTTCTTATCTCTGAAATTGTTATGTTTTCTCTTGGTTTTCTTTTTGGATTACTTGTGCCACTGCTGCCATGTGTAAGGAGAAAGGGGGGGTTGGGGGACTCCCGTCAAGCTGCATGATGCAGCTTTTTTCCTCGGTCTCCTTCCGTCATTTGTGTTTTGACGGAAAATAAACATTATTATTATTATTATTATACATCAGGAAAAAGTCTACCGGTGACATCGGCAACCCGCTGGACTACTTTAATTGCACGTATGTCAACAGCCCCTTCCGTTATGCTTCTGCTCCTTCTTCGGCGGCACCAAGAGCGAATTCTTCCCTTTGGCTGACTGTGCGCCGACGACGACCGGAGTTTCCCCCGTAACGGTGGAATATGTACGACGCACCACTTTTTTGAGTTAAAGACCGGACGAATAACGCCTGAGAAGGATGGAATAG